AGTTATTGCACTTTTAAGTTTCCAAAATTTTCTATTTCATCCAACCCCTCCTGAGCAGCCCCCCCACTATACCCCACCCCACTGTCCACCCATCAACCCACAGCTCCACCCACAAACCTCACATCCACCCACAAACCCCACAGCTGCCAAACAGGATGGGACAGGACCTGCTGGTGGGAGCTGAGGCTGCAGGGGCAACTGCCACACTGTAGCCTTGCCCTGTGCCCAAACCAGTGCTGTGGCATGCAGCCCCAGCCTATTGGGGCTCCTGGTTCCAGGAACCATTTTGGTGTGTAATGGGCTGTGGGGAGGATTGGAGGTGGCAGCAGGGGTGAGTGAGTGAGTGAGATGGGGTCAGGGGTGGAGGATAGCTCCAGTTAGGAGAGGATGCCAGAGACAGGCTTAGAGCCCCCTTGCCCCACTACAGCAGCCTGTGTAGGGGAAGGCCAGCCTAGGTGGGAAGGGGCTTCCCAGCCCAGCCCCTAAGCTCCAGTTGAGGGCTTCCCCAGGAACAGCATGGGGATCACTGTGGCCTGGGCACAGGGATCAAAACAGCTACAGCTGGCACTGCTCAGAGCCACAAAACTCAGAGTGGGTGGGACAACTGCAGCTGGACCCATGTCCTGGTGCTGGGATGGAGCTGCTAGTGCAAAGCAGGCAGGGGCTGCAGGTCAGGAGTGAGGGGCACTGGTGGGGCTGTGGGTTGGGAGTCAGGGGCAGGGCACCAGCATATTGGTGCTGCTCAGCACCCCACATCCTGGTGAGTGAAGTGGGGAGGAATAACTCTGATTTTTCTATAATTAAAAAAACTAAAAGCAAATGCCAAAGTGTATAGATATTTAGAATTCATTTTTGATGATGATAGAGGCACTGGTATGCTTCCAAATTGCTTTAAACTTGTAATTATGTTAATAAACATTGCCCAACTGATCTCTCTCTCTATAGTGGAAGAATACAGATTTGGCAAAGTTCAGTGATGAGACTGTAAATAGTAGGATTTGGATTAAATGCACTGACTCTTGGTTTAAATGGCCTGTCCAGCCATCAAGCTGCCAAGGACATCTTTTATTGGTAGGTCTGTGACCTGCATTGTTCCTTGGAGAAGCCAAAGGGGGACAAAGGAAAACCCCTGGTAGCACTGGAAGTGTTGCAGGCTACTTGGCTGTAAGCCCCTAACATAGCAGGTTAGGGTGGGGGTAGCAGTGGATAGAGAGATGCCATGACTGTGTGCTCACTCTGCCTTCTCTCTCTTTCAGTTCACCAGGACCCCTGAATCACAAGGGCTGCCAGGCCAGGGTGATGTGTACAATGTAAGTGATTACAACATCTCTTTTTAAACCCGTGACTTGAGCTAGGCCACCTCAGCTCCAGCTCTCTGAGCAAGCTGGCTTTTCTGCAAGCCAGATGAGCAATCACAGGTGCAAGGAGGTGGGACTGCCAGCTGAGACAAGCTAACAGCTCAGCCTGGGAGTGCCTCTTGTACTCCCGGGTAAAAAAGCTACGAGCAGATGCAAAATCTCCAGTTTAAGGCTTTGCTCCATTGAAGTACAGGAGGTGAGAATTCAGTCGTGTCTAGACCCGTGCTCTGGATGCGCGCACTGATCGGATAGGTTGCTTTCTGTGACACGGCCATCAGGTGCATGGGCTTCTCTCCACAGAGGGCCTGATCCTGCAATACTTCTACACCAGTCAGTTTTTAGTTAAACAGGACTTGAGTAAGTCGCCTGCAGGTTTTCACGGGGACAACTGGAGTGGGTGAGCAGAAGCTGGTATGTTAAGGCCTGGAAGATGGAGATCCAGAATGCTTTGTTTCAGGTTGAATGAGAAATTCCCCTAAAATATTTATTAGCAATGAACCCTGGGAAAGGAATTTGCTCTAGATTTTATGTTTGTCCGGAACCAGGACTGGCAGCTCCCCTTCCAAAAGTGACTCTAGTAGTTGCCTACAACAATTAATTTATAATGGGGATACTACAGTAACACTTACGGTACAGGTAATTGTACAATATTTACTTGTACAATTTTGCAGATACAAAATTATACTGTAAATTTTATAGTACAACATTTTGCTAATAAGTTAGATTATTTTTTTTAATCTTGCAAGATGCTAATGATCGCTGGAGCAAGGGGCTTCTAGATGGGCTAAAATTGCATTAATTTACCTTTTCAGAAATGAGGAAGTTTGGTTAAGGCTTATAATCTCAGCTAAAAAGATGAGCTCACACTGGCTGATCATTTAGCTATAGGTCTCTTTATGTTTTTCATCTGACGATTTATCTCACTACTGCTGGTGTTTTGTGGCACAGTACTGCCTGGCCAATGACAAAACTGATTTCCAGTCAGCTGTGCCAGGATACTAGTATAGTAAGCTCCTGGGAAGGGGAAGAAAGAGCGAGTGCTGCATCACCTTTGCTTAATTAACTCAGGAAAGCATGAAACAGGTACAGGAAAGAATCATGGTTAAAGCATCTACCAATGCTTTAACCTGCTACTCAGGTAAGAGATCACTGACTTGAGATCGTCATAACTCCTCCATTTGCTTCAGTTCAGAACCAATCAGTGGAGACTTGCTTCTCTAGTGGTATCTGACTTCAGTTAGCTTCAGCATAGTAGATTGAGGTTGGATTTTTACCTCACGCCAGCCAGTGGAACCAGGAACCCTCACCATAATGGTAGAAATCTCATTCCAACATGTTAGCCTGCCACCCTGGCCCCCTCCCACCACCCCCCTATTCCCCTAGCACCTGCTGCCTCTATAGCATCTTGCTGCTTCGCTTTTGGGTGAGGAGCGTGCAACTCTCTTCCCACATCTGGCTTCTTGGCAGCTAGGTCTTCTAAGACATGGTGATTGGCCCGATCACCTTGCTGAGGGCAGCAGTTTGTCCCTGCTGGCCCCCTCCCAGAGACGATGCATCCAGACCTGTACAGTTCCTGAGCCAGCCCCCTCTTCTGAAAAGTGCAAGAGGGTGAAGGTCTTGGATCAGTGGTTACCAACTGGTCGATTTCAATCGACTACTCAATCACGGAGCTCTGATAGTTGATCTCAGTTTGGGGGGGCTGAGCGCGCACGTGTTCAGCCCCCCTAGACTGAGATCGACTGTCAGAGGCTCCGCAACTGGGAGCAGCAGGACGCACGCGCAGAGCGGCCAGGGCAGAAAGCACGTGGCTGGGCTGAGCTAAGCTGCCTGCCACCGGGGTTGGGCCGTGTGAGTGGGGTGATACACCCTCCTGCCCTGCCACCCTGCAGTGAGGGAGGGAGTGGGGCAGGGGCGAGTGGGGCCTCGGCTGGGCCGGGAGAGGGTCGGAGCCCAGATGGCTTATCCAGGGGCACGTGGTGGTTCCCGCACTGCGCACACCCTGGTGGAGGCCCAGGGGCCACATGCCCTCCAGATCTATGTGCAGGGCAAAGGTGGCTGCCGCTGCACACTAGGCTCTACACCCCAAGCCCCACACACAGATTGGGATTCGTACAGCAGTGGGAGCCTCACCGTGTGCCTGGATGAGCTGCCTGGGCTCTGACCCTCCTCCGGCCTGGCTGGGTCATCCAGTGGCAGGGGACACAAGGGCATAGGTGGCAGAAGGGGAGGGGAGCAACAGGGCTTAGGCCCCCCACATGGGGCAGAGGTAAGTCCACAAGGCAGCCCAGTTATGGGCTTCTGGCTGCTGCAGCAGGGGTAAAGAGGAGTGCATGCGCAGTGGTGAGTGAGGGAATGGAGCAGGGGCAGGTCCTGAACAGTTAGGGCAGGCACGGGACAGAGCCACAAGCAGCTCAGCTAGGGGTGCAGGGATGGGGGTGGTGCATGCAGCCAGGGAGGGCATGGGGGTGGGGGCATGTGCCCCGGACCTGCACATGGGGTGGTGGGGAGCTGGGGCTGGGGCCAGGGCAGCGCCAGGCTCCTTCCAGCATGGCTCTTTCACCACATGGCTCTCAGGCTGGACAGCAGCGGCAGCACTGGGAGGGGTTGGGGGGGGGCTATGGCTTATTTTTAGGTGCCTGAACCCCCCACCCCTGTAGCCCTGCTCCTGATGGCACCACTGCCGCCCCACCCAAGAGTCACGCCAGGAAGAGCCTGGCACCACCCCACCCCACCCCACGTGCAGATCCGGGGGCACATGCCACTCGGACGAGCTGCTCACAGCGCCATCCTGCACCCAACCCCAGCTGTGCAAGGCCTGCCCCTGCTCCACATCCTCACTCACTGCTATGGGGGGGGTGCAGATTGAGGCCCCAGCAGTGAGGGAGGGAGCGGGGTACAGGCTGGAGAGGGGTGGGGGACAAGTGGAGGCCTTCAGGGGCATGTGGCCCAGCCAGGCCCACTCGCTGCAGCTCCAGCCCTAGCCCCAGCCCCTGCTCTTGCCTGTGTCTGGCTCCCTCCCTCACTGCTGGGGCCTCAATTTTCCCCCTGCCCCCCTCCCCACAGTCCTCTCCCCTCCCCCTGTCCCTTCCCCCACAGACTTACCTGCTTGGAGGTGGGGCACGCACTCAATTTTTTGCTCCTCTGCCTCAATCTGCCCCCCACCTTCCCTTCCCACAGACTGACCTGCAGAGGTAGGAGGCAGTGGCACAGGGTAGGTCTTGGGTTGCTTTTTTAATTCAAAAACTAATCTCCTACCCGAAAAGGTTGGAGACCGCTGTCTTAGATAAATGGTAGTGTAAAAGTTGTATTGTAACTGTGAGATGGTCCAGAAATTATGCAAGAGGCAAGGATTTCTTAAGGTGATATCTTTTATTGGACCCACTGTGTAGTTGGGATAGAGTTAGACAAACTTTCAAATGCAAGATATTTTTCATCAGGTCTTGCATTCAAAAGCTTGTCTAACTCTCTGCCAACTGCATAGTGGGTCCAAAAAAGATATCACCTTAAGAAATCTTTGCCTCTTGGATGAATGAGGAAGCCAGAGAGAGTATGAGGCTGGGGATCTGAGCAAGGTCAGCACTGAACCCCAGAAATACCACTTGTCCATCCTCAGACTTTTGATCTGACTTGGGTCAGAATTTTGATTTTTTGGATCAAAGTAGCCCTGACTTTATGGGATTGCAGCCCGTCTCTGTCACTAACAGGACTCAGTCTCACCCGGCTCATGAAGAGCATGGGTTCGTTGTTCTGTTCATTAACTTCACTCTGTGTGCGTCCTGAACTGTGGGGAATGGCATTCCAGAATTGAACCCAGACCCACTGAGCACAACATGTATATCAGAAGACACTGCAAGAAACCCCATTGTGAGCACACAGGAGACTCTGCCTTCCTTCCAGACCCTGAATAATTAAAAGCTGGTTGAATGCCAGGATGTTTCATATCCCTTCCAATGGTCCTTTTATCATTAAGTGCAACAACTCTGGATAATCTTATTAAACATATCTGGTCCCCACACCCTTTCCCCCCTCTTTTTTTTTTTTTATACCTCAACCACATCCTGTGGTGATGAATCCTACAGTCTAACTGTAGCATATGAAAAGTATTTCTCTGTCAGTTTTTATTTTTGCTATCATTTCTATGTTGTTTGAATGGCCTTTGCCTTCTCATACAAGACATGGGCTACAGAATTTCCTGATCTGCCCTCCATATCGGGTGTTGTCCTGATAAAGTACATACACACGCATGCTCTGATCTGCCACCTTTTGAAGGTGGCACATTCCCATCAAGAATAAGGTCAGAGAGAGGGCTTCCTTGTTTACCTATTGCAAAGCCAGCCTAACTGTTGTAGAAAGAAAAATCTTTGACTGTGTGTGTACACCTCTGACCATCACAGGCAAAGGGTAAAAGCCTCAGCTCTCCTTCAGGTAACAGCGCGTGTCATTTAACCCAGTGGTTTATGGCTAGAAGATCAGTCTCTTACGTCTCAGATCAACAATTGTGGTGGCTGTTTTTTGTTAGCATTGACAATTATTTGTCTTAAATAAATAGGAAAATTATTTTTAATCTATTAACTGTTGTCTCTCACAGGCTATCAAATCAGTGCTGCCTTCCCTGCTCTCCCTAAGCCAACAACTGATTTTTCCAATGCTGATTCTGCCTTGTTATTTCAGAAATTGTCTCATGCACGCAGAGATGAATATGATGTTCTGGGGGCTAAGCGAGGTGGTGACCCTGAGCTAGGAGGGAAAAATCAGGTAAATTCCCCTCATGCATTTTGTTCCTTTCCTCTTCTCAGCTGTCTGTATGTGGCACTACTGTCCTCTACCCCCAGCTGGTGGGGGCATGAGCCTTGCCTACATGTGTATTCAAGGGCCTGCTGGTGAGCCACTTGCTGGCTAAAAGGGCAGAAGCCTTCATGCAGCTTAGCAGAGACTTGCCTTGTCTTGCTCAAGTCACAGGCAAAAGTTCCCGACTTGTTTAAGTAGCAGATCCTGGGATCTGACCCTGCTGCTGTCTGTTTACATAGGGCTCCCTCTTGCTGGTCTCAGTCCCCACTGCGTGGAGTCTCTCACACTGGTGTTGGTTACTGTGTGCCAGTGGCACCCAACCTTCTGGCCCTGCAAGCTGGAGAGTGGTGCGAGGTCAGTCCATGGGCCCAATCTAGCCACCTGCCTGCCAGATCCAGCCATGCACCAGCAGGATCTGGTGTGCACAGCTACATAGTGGCGATTTGTCCCCAGTGCAGTGGCTGTATGGAGGCTCAGAAGGCAGCTTCCCTGTAGGGGGTCCTGTGCAAATGGTGCAAGCGGGCTTTAGCCCTGGTAGACTGTTGCTGGGCAGCTGGAGCTGATGTGGGTAAAGGGGGACTAGACGCTGACTTGGCTATGGAAATGATGGGTCCAACCCTTGCCAAGGCTGACTAGGCCTCACCTAGGTGGGACTACAGGAAACCTTTGCTGGCACAGTCATGTCACATGGGAGGGAAGGATTCTCTTGCAACTACCGGCTGAGTCAGCAACAGCTCTTGTGTGGATAGTGAGGCGGGTGAAGTTGCATTAATGGCAGAGCTGCTTCTGCTGGCCAGGGGCACTGGCATAAGCTCACCTGCTGGTTCTAGCTGGCTCCACAGTAAGTGGGTTAAGGCAGCAGAACATTTTCCCCCTTCTACTACCCTTCCTCCCCTACTCAAACTGACAGCAAGGCTGGCAGAAACTTTTCCTGTAGAGATAGCCTAACAAGTCTTGCTTTGCAGTAAGCTCCTGCACTCTGGCATCTGCTCTTATTCCAGAGGGTACTTGGCACCCTTCATTCAGGTGCCTTTGGCTGGAGCCAGAGCTGTCCTAACCACAGCATGGCTGGCAGCTTTGATGCAGAGAATGAAACTTCCCCTTTGATCTTTTCTGCTTGCCCCCTTAAGAGCTTGCAACTACTCTGAATGGGAAGTGACACCCAGCGGATGTGGGGCAGGGCAAGGACCAAGTGGGCGTCTCTGGATGCGATGCTGTGAAACAAGTGCCAGCAAATTGAAGTAACAGCCCAAATGACTGTTCTCACTGCTTCTGAGGAGGAAGAGGGAGGGGACGACCTCTATGAGTACTTCAGGGCTTGCCTATGAGGCCAGCAGCCCCATTGAGAGAGGAAGAGCTGGGCTCCATGAGCACAAACAAAGAAACCACTGGAGCAGCAGCAGCCCTTCAACCCACATGCAAACACATTCCAGGCTGGAGATCAGTGGGCAGGGAAGGGCAGTAAAGGGTGCACACTTCATGCCTAGGATGCACAGACAGTCTCCAATACACAGCCACAGACCATGATAGCACACAGCCCCATGTCTTGGAGGGAACAGATACTGATTACCTGACAAACAGCTTTTCCTTTTGTTTTACAGCAACGAAGAAAGAATCCTCATGACCCTCTCTACACGGTGAGTAAACAGAGTTGCTGCTGGGGTCAGGGCAGGGGGGAAGAGTAGCAGAAAATCAGATTTCCTTGCATGGGAAATGGAAATTCCACTTAAGTCCAAACGGGGCCAAAGTTTCCCTTGTGAGCTGGAAGCCCCCTCTCCCACCCCTGCATCGGCTCAGCAACACGGACAGAAATTGCCAAGAGATCAGTTTCATCAAGAAGCTGCAGGGAGCTTCCAGGAAGACAGACAAGGTCGTTGAGGAGCCTGCCCTGGACAGCGCGAGATCAAATGCACTTTTCTGAATGAAACATGTAGGGCTCATTGAGCTGGGTTTGGCCAATGCAATGTCTGTCATAAGCTTTCTGGGCAGCTTGAGGTGAAAGTAGGGGGACTGTTTGATTCATTATGGAGGTGGGGGTGCAGTCATGGTCTCCCAGAGAACACAGCAGAACTAGAAAGGGTACAGAGATGGGCAGGAAGGACGAACAGAGGTGTGGAGAAGCTTCTGTGTGTGGAGAGCCCAAGTAGGTCAGGATTTTCCAGCTTAGAGAACAACAAAAGAAGGGGGAGAGAATAGAGGCCTAGGAAAGAATGAATGGAAAGGAGAAAATGCATAAGGATTTACTGCAGGTACTCCTCACTTAACGTCATCCTGGTTAACGGTGTTTTGTTATTATGTTGCTGATCTATTATAGAATATGCTCATTTAAAGTCGTGCAACGTTCAGTTATAACGTTGTTTGGCCACTGCCTGCTGGTAGGTAACTACTGTGACATAACTGGATTTGCTTAATATTGTTTTGCTTAAAGTCGCGTTTTTCAAGAATGTAACTACAATGTTAAGCGAGGAGTAGCTGTGTGGCTCATGCTGACAGAACAAAGGGAGGACATGCAAGGGAATTATTAGGAAGCAAGTTTAAAACCAAGAAAAGCAAGTTCTTTTCTACACAGTTTGCACTTAACTTGTGGAAGTCATTGCCATGAGATACTAGAGAGGTTGGCAGTCAGTAGCAAAAGTAGGGCAGAGCAATGGGGTCACCTCTTAACTAACTGACCTGAAAGCAGCAGCATCCTACTTTGCAAGGCAGCAGCCAGGACTGGGCAAGGTCTGCTAGAGTTGTCAGCAGAGGAGTCTCTACTAACCCTGGCAGTGCCTACAGCACCACTGGGGCTCTTAAACGTTTGATTCACAGCAGGGCATGTGAGCAGCCCCTTCTTGGGGCCCACGGAGAATAACAACCTGCCTCCATTCCCAGCCCACTACACGGATCCCTTTTTTTCCAGCCTTTTGGGCCCTTAGCTGTGCCCTTGTTTTCAACTTCAGCTCCCTCTAAACTGGCTGCCATCCACACGCATGCCCAAAAGAGCTGAGGCAGCATAACTGATCACTATGGCATAAACAGAGGGACGGGCATGGAAACTGTCTAGGATTTGCTAGAGGAGGTTGCTGCCATTGGTGGTAGAGGATGAGGTGTTGGTAGAATTGATGGCTCATCCAGATTAATCTGTGCTCTGTATTCACTGGATCACCCGCATGCAGCCTATTTCGTAGTCAGTCTGGAGTCAGTAGTGAGAGCCAGGGCAAAAGGAAAACAATTAGGAGTGGAGCTGAGAGAAGCAGCAGTGGATTTTGGGGGACGCAGTAGGGTATATGTGGTGGCAGTAAGAGGGTGGCTTGGCTTCTTGCACTACTAATGTTGTTCTTTGACTTTGGGTGCCAGTCTCTGCAGAAGGACAAGATGGGCGAGGCATACAGCGAGATTGGGAAGAAGGGAGAGGTGAGTGGTACATGCCATCCAAAGGCAGGTGGGATGCTGCTGAGAACTTTCCATCTGATCCAACACGTGTGCCTGATACAGCCCCTGCTCTCAGTACACTCTCATGCAAGACATGTTTTCAACATCCACAACCCCCATGCCCAACTACAGTTGTCGTTTTCCAAAAGCACGCACCCTGCTAGCTTCCAAACAATGAATAACACAAGTGCAACCTTAAAGATACGGTAAGCACAAAAGGACAGGTTGGACGTTTGGTGTCCTCTCTTCAACCACAGAAAGAAGAACTGCCCCATCGCTGAGGCCCCGTCGCCAAAACAGGCAGCTCTGTGCCAGCAAATCAGCTTCAACTTACCATTTTAAGAATTCTTTTCTTTAAAACTGTTATACCGATTTTCTTCTTTCCCTGTTGGATTTACAAGCTCAGTGGGACATGGAACCAAAGCCATGTCTAAGGAAAAAGAGTGCTGTTATTCCTGTTGGGAATATTTCTGCTTCCTGCAGTTTCTGCTTCTGCTTCCTGCAGTTACCAGGTAGGTAACTGCAACTGCTCTCCTTGTCTAAGCCAGTGTTTACAAACTGGTGCATAGATGAACTTCTAGGGGATGCATGAAAAGAAGAAGCAGGAAGCAGAAATATTCCTGCTGGGAATATTTAAAGGTGGCACATAAATTGTGAAGTGCATCGCAGGTTGCAGAGCTAGAGTGCACACCTGTTACCCAACTTTATGGTGAATATCCCACTCTCCCATGTGAAACCAGCAAAGGTTTTTGTGGTCCTGGGTGAAGTCTATTCCCTTGTTGAATTTCAAATGCCAATCATTTTTTTTACAGCAGCTCTCTATAAAGACTGCATGACTAAACTTATTCTGAAAAGGAAAATGAAACTCACGCTCTCTCCACTCCCTGTTACTCAGACGCCTGAAGAGCTTTTTCTGAAACTTCCCAATACAAAAATCACCTTTGGACAAAGACAAATGGCTGGTGCCCAGCAGGGAGTGGGTCACAGTGCTAGCAGGAAAAGGGGAGAATTGATTTTTGTGGCCAAACCAAAACTATGGGTGAAAAATCCAGCTTGGTCCAGTGGCACTAGGAGTTTTTGGTTTTCTCCAGCAAAAAGATTTTTTTTCTGTGAAACCCAGACACTATTTAACTGCAAAGATAATGCTTTGTTCAATTTTCAGGTCATTTAACTCTTTAACCATTTTTTAACCTAGACCACTTTTTTAACATAAAACACAGCCCAAGATTTGTTTTAAAAAGGGCAGAAAAGATATTTTGACACTTTCAGATTTCCTCCCTTCTTCTGGCTGACGCTACTTACCAGACTTGCTTGGAGTTCAGGCATCTTTGTGCCCATGGCAGACCATGGTGGGGCTCACTTGGAAGCCAACATCTTACATGATGGTCAGATGCTTAGTCTGAAGCCCCCCCTGACACGTTACATTGAGGATGTGATAAACTGGGTAATTGTGCCTTAAGCTGTGACCCGGTTACACGTTCAACCAATTAATAGCATGATAAAATAAGCACTAAGCTACAAAGTTGTTCCACAAAAGATGCTGGCTTCCAGGTGCAGGGCTTGCAGTGACTGCAGCGCTTCGTGCACTGCCCCTGCTATGAGCCCTGCAGCCCATGCTGCTGCAGGGCTTGTAGCGGTGGCAGCTGGAAGAATGCTGCTGATGCTGTGAACCTGAGCTGCGGGGCTTGCAGTGGGCAAACACTGCCCCACTGTGAACCTTGCAGCTCTGGAGGCTCACAGTGGTGGCAGCTTTCTCCCCACTGCCCCTGCTGGGACTCCCACAGCCCACATCAGCTGTAGGGCTCACAGCAGAGGCAGGCGGGAACACAGCTACAGGAACCAGTGCAGGGGGAACCCGGGACTGTGATCCCAGGCTCCACCTGTACTGGAGGTAAAGTGTGATGGGATCTAATAATGCATGATCCCCACAACCATGCCTCCTGCAAATTCTGTATGGCATGGCAGGAGGTATGATTGTGGGGAATTGCATGTGAGATCCCATTGTGTCTTTACTTGCACATGTAGGGGGGCCTGACAGACAGCAATCCAATGTGAACGCTGGTTTCATCGGCACACGTGCCACAGGGCCGGCTTGTATTTTTGAAGCTGCTAATCTGAGCAGTCTTGTGCTAGTGCAGTTACATTGCATCAGCATGGCTCTGGCAGCCAAGCCCCGAGTGCTGTTGGAATAGAATTCTCTTTTCCAAAGTAGCCTGCAAATGCTTCCTTTGCGCTCAGCAGCTGGTTAATAAATAAAGGCAGTGGCTGAGCCTCTGCAGGCTGCTAAGCCTAATTCATAGATGCTGTTCAACAGAGGAGTCATGCAGACCCCTCTTGCCTGGCTGCCATGCCAGCCCACAAAATGAATGTGAAATCATGATGAGCAGGCAGAACTCCCACCCCAACTAGCACAAAGCCCTGTTCCCCTCCTCTCTTTAACTATGGGCCACAGCAATACCTGGTTCTCCAGTGGTGCTGCCAGGTTGCAGACCGGGCTCTTGTGGGGCTAGGGTGGGCAGAGGAGCATGCTCCAGAGCAAGAGGCCTTGACAGAGGATGCCTGGCCAGCAGCTCACTTGCTTGTGCAGAGATAGGGTGCAGTTCTAGCACCTCTGTGGCAGGGGAAATGAAGCCTTTAGGCAGGAAGCATCCGCTAACCCAGGCTTCTGTTTCTTTTCTTCCCCAAAGCCCCAGAGGCGGCGAGGCAAAGGGAATGATGGCCTTTACCAGGTAGGTAACTGCAACTGCTCTCCTTGTCTAAGCCAGTGTTTACAAACTGGTGGATGGATGAACTCTAGGGGATGCATGAAAGGGAGAAAGGAAAGGGGAATAGAAAGGGAGGGAAATAAACAACCATCTCTGTAGTATGGCTGTAACAAGCACTGCTTTTTTCTTAGCCATAGCACAGAATCAGTGGCTCACACAGCAGTATAATACTCAAATAGGGGTGTGTGACCCACACCATTTGAGAGGCACTGCTCTGGTTTGCATGCTTGAGTCGCTAAGTCCCTGCACCCCCTCCCAAAGAGCCTGGAGCAGTGGTTCTCAACTGTTGTTTTTTTTGGGTGAGGGGAGGAAAAAAAAAAAAGGAAAGAAAGAAAAAAAAAATCACATCCTCTTTTCTAAGCAGTGCTGTGTGCAGAGGTTGGAGGTGTTCACTTTTCTGTCCCTTCTTCTGCTTCTATTCTCCTCCTCTGGTGTGCTCACCACCCTTGATTTCTTATCAAGGTGGTCTTACAGTGAGCTGACAGCCAACAGGATCTCTTAGTAGCCTGCTCTACAAGAGCAGCCTTAGTCACAGGCTTCATAAACAGCTGACTCAGCTTCAGGTTATTTCCAGACCACTGTGGACAATCAAAGCAGGACCTTCCCTGCTGCTGCTCAAAAGTTTTGTGTTGATTTTGTTCAGACTTGATATTGTGTTTCAAGGCCCTGCTGATGCTAGGTAGCATAAATCGAGCAGTAAGAAGTATGCTTTAAACTGTACCTGTAGGCACAGCACATCATACTTTTAGCCAGTACTTACCAGCTTCAGGAGCACTTCTCTGTCTTTAGCTCAGGAGGCTGTAGATGGAGCCTTTTGGGCCTTGTTTGCCTGTGAATCTTGCATGCTGCCTGATCATCTCTGAAAACACTTACACCTGCTGCAAAGAAGGCCAGGACATGTTAAATAAATGAAGCCACTTGGCTGAGCAACAGCAAGGGGACAGTTTGGGAGAGAAAATATCAGGTGCTCATGGAATGATTCTGTATCCTACACTCCTCTTTCCATCCGGAGCAATGCAATTAAGCCACACACCTGGCTGAGTTACCAGTGTTAACACTGCTGTCCTGCCCAAATTCCAACTCTGGAATTAGGGAAGTCCATGGAGATGGTGCTTACTGCAGTGTGGACACAACCAGATGACTGTGTTGGCCAATCTTCTGCTGCTGGAGTTTGGTCACTGTGTGACCACTTGTACCAGATTGCTACATCCATGTTTTGCTTTTAACCCTTTTCGCTAACCAAAGGCCATCAATATTCCACCATGAAGAAGGAAATGCGAGAATGAACAACCCTCTTGTAGCAGCTACGTAAATCCAAATTTACTTGAGCAAGACACTGGGCAGGGAGTACTCTGTTACCTCCTTCACTTTGCCTTTTTTCTTCTTGTCACAGGGACTCAGCGCAGCAACCAAGGACACATATGATGCCCTCCAGATGCAGCCATTGCCTCCCCGCTAACATGGACTTGTGCAGTAGATGGGCAAGACTGAGGGAAGCCCACACACTTTGGGGGAGGAGAGAAGGGAAACTCCAGGAATCCAAACAAGATGATTCTGCCAACCCCGGTTTTTCACAGTGCAGGAAACTCCTTTTAGTCATTACACAGCAAGGAAATAACTTCATCATTTGGAGATTCCCCTTCTCCCTTCCCCCCTCCCAGTCTGCAACAGCAAGCTTCAGCTTTTCAACATATAGATCTGTAAAACTATTCCCCATGACAGTGGTTGTTTCACAGGCTAAATTTTGTAAGAGTATTTGTAGCTAGAGCAAGGGATTAGAGCAGAGTATGTAGGGGCCCCGAGGGCCCTGGCCCCCCTCTGCTATCACCTGAAATGCATAAAACTTTCCACATGTCCATCATCTTGGGGCCCCACCCACACCAAAAATAAAAATCAGCACTTATGGACTAGAGCCTGGGATTCCTGGGCTCTTCCCCTGCCTTGGACTAGACTTAGGTTCCCCAAGTGTTTAAAAAACCCAAAACAAAACATGTTACCTACCTCACAGGGGTGTTGTGAAGCCTCCATTATGGTGTAAAGCTCTTAGGGGTCCTCCCATGGAAGGCACTATAGTTGTGGCCACTGTTTCTACTGTGATCTGCACTAAAGTAACTACAACTGTCCAGCTAACTTATCTTCCGCTGTAAATTCAGCTTTACATTTCTTTAACTGCAAAGAACTGGAAAAAAACTGTCAAGTTCTTATAGTGCGACAAATGCTAAAAGCATGCTCTGCTTTTCAGTCAGAAAAAACGCAGCACTGGCTGCAACAGGGGCTCAAGAAATAACATCCGGCACGACTAGCTCCTGCAGCACATGAGCTGTATCCAGGAATACGGATGACAATAAATGAAAGCTAGGTAACCTTTAGCAGAGAGGTTTCTTCCTGCAGCAGGACCGGTGCAGCATATTAAGTGAACCATCCCTATTCATTAGGATGCGAGCTGGGACATTGCACACCAGTAACGCTTGACAATGAGATGATGCTGGGAAAATTGGGATTAAATTACAGGATGCCTTAAGATTGGTTGAAGATCCACAGTTTGACCTTTTCTGCTGACATGCTTCAGTGCTGTATTTTGTACGTGATAAAAACAAAGCAAAACTTACTTGCTGGGAAAGGAAATGTAGAGAAGCCAAAGAAATGTACATTTAAAAAAAAAATCTCTTTGGGATCTTTTCCAAGGTGAGCACAAAGGCATTGGTGCTCAGCAACAGAAAGGATCTCTGGTGAGCTAATAAAGCTGATGGGGAAGCCACGCGTGTGTAATTGTGTCTAACTGGGCTGGCTGATTCTGAGGCACGGTCTCACTGGTGCTGGAAAGCAAGCGCTTGCATCCATTCTAGTTTACCTTTGCACTCAGGGAACAAGACAGGCTGCCAGCTATTTTAAGTGAGAAAAGGCTGGACAGCGCAGGGGTGGGGAGCAAAAGCTCCGAGCTGAGAACCAGCAGGCAGGAGTGGCAGTCACACACATTTAAAAACCACAAACAAGCGCATACATGTTAAAACACTTGGAAAATGGTTTAATGATGTTTACAACAGAAATGAACTGTACAGTTACAGTAAGTTTAATATATATAAAAAATTACAGCAGACAAATGCATCTACACAAAATCTACCATTTCATCCTGATTTACTGTAATCTACACAATCTCTCAATGCCTACAGTCACCTGCAGGCAGCCACTGGGAAAAAATAATAAAGGGCATCTTTAAAGAGACAGCATCCTCCCCCAGGAGACATCAGCCAAGCTTCAGAATCATTGGGTCTTTTACACTTCAGACTCAAGACAAGAGAAAAATGCTTTTTCTTTAGGCGCAAGTACCCCAGTCCCACCCCGGGTTCAGGGATCTCGCTGACCCTGAGGGGACACGTAAAGTAAGTGAGAGGAGGGGAGGAAAAGAAAAACAGCTCAACCAAACAGTCATGCAAAGCAAACCCAAGCAGTTAACATTTGAACTACAATGTCTATTTTTCAGAAGCCAAGCATCAAGACTCCCGACAGGACACTCAGTATTCACAGATCATCACTCAGAGGAAACCATTGGCTGGAGTCAGCAGGAATCCCAGTTTTCCCCAGAGACCAACAGAGTTTAAAAACTAGCATGCACTCAAGGTTCTTCTTAAATAAATTGTGGGCCTCTCCGGCCCCTTCCTTAAACAGCAGGAAAACGCTCTAGGACCCAGTTACATAGAGAGGAAACGTGGGCCTTTAGGGAGAAAAAACAAAGAAAGACACAAGGGTGCTGTCTCTTTAAAAAAGAAAGAAGGAACCCCAGTTGGGTGCGGCGCTCAGTGAAAATGCCATCTGAATCGGTGGAAGTTTGTCATGGAATATTATGTACACGTAGAAACTCTCTTTAATTATGAACACCTAGGCAGTGAGAACTGTTATGTTAATACATACATAGACACACCCAAAACATACAAAAATACTATTATTTCAAACTACTAAGAATAGGACAGTTCAGTTATCTCCATGCTATGACTTTAAGAGCATTACACTGAAACAAACAAGAATTTAAACGACAATTTTTTAATATCCCAGAAATATACCAAAATATACATCTAAGCTTTGGAATTACTGAGGTTAGACTAATGCAAGTGCTGGGTAATCGTACTTAATACACAAGTCTAAGGTTCTGCAGGAAAGAAATTATCTTTGGTATCTGCATCAGGCTAATAATATTAACATTTGGATTTTGCTTTGGGATAGAGCTTGTATGACCCTAGAACCAAACACCCCCCAATCAACTGAGATTAAAAAGATCCATGTAAAAAGTTCCTCCATTTGCAATCCCCCCCCCAAGTTAAAAAGTCACAGGCATCTACCTAGCATAAAAGGTTGAGAAATACAATGCATAGTTGCACAGTGGTGCTGCAAAAATAAAATGAAATATATAGAAAAAAGGAACTAGAGGAGAAATGAAAAGCTTTTTCTTCTGCTTTCAGGGATTTCTCATAACAGGACAGCCTCTTCCAAGCAGTTACGGGGAGGAGGGGAGGGGGGGAAGCTCAGAAGTGCACCTCAGCGTGTATTAATCAACATCACCCAGCCCCCAAAGGGTTAAAGCACCCATCAGAGCAGCCAATCATGCACCAAAGTCTTCAGCTTCTCAACCAATCTGTGGAGTCCTGCCAGCTGCATCGCTCTCCCCAGCGGCTGCACCCTGGGGTTGGGCCAGTTTCAAGAGCAAGTGTCTTCCAGAGCTAATTGGTGCCGGTGGGGTAGAAGTCACCTGGCACAGGTGGAGCCTGCTTGGTCAGGGAAGCAGCCACAGGGCACTGAAGCAGGAAGTCCGTCCTGCCAGGATGGCAGCCTGCCGAGACCCCCCCACCAGGGCTGGCTCACAGATGGAGTTGGTGCTGAAGACGCCCCTTTGTCTTTGGTTTGTTTGTTTGTTTTGAGTTTATACAATCATTAGGAAATCTTTGGTTTTGGCTGGAAATTTTTAAAAGAACAAAACAAAACAAAGAAACCGCCCCCCCGGCTTATAGCAGCCACCGTGACCTGGCAAAGCTTCTCTCTCCCATGGGGGTGGGGAACTACATTCAAAGTAAGATGGAAGGGATCAAAGGGGCAGCTTCTGGTCAGCCTGGGGGACACAGGATTGTCAAATAATAAAGACAAACGTAAAGATTTGGAGCGTCTTCTCTTTTTGGTCATGTTGAAAAACCAAAACAAAACAAAGCAAAAAAACCCCCCGAAATAAAAGCAAAACCAGCGAGTAGCACTTTGGGGCCTGCCTTGCCCTGGCAGCTCCCGGGGAGGGACCAGGCAGCATGGACGTT